TTGTTGGGACTTTGCGCTGCGCTTTCTTGCTGTTCACGTTTGTGGCATGAATAAACCCACTTATCTAATTGCGATTCCGGGAACTGGTTTTCCCTGATACATTTTTCTCAACTCATTAGAACTCAATCATAACTCGGGACTTGGACTTGCACTCGAACTCGGACCGACTCGTTTGCTTTTGGCCTGGCTTTAGCTTTGGCTGTGGCTGTGGCCCCTCCATGCAATAGGCAAATGTAATCGTTGCTACATATTTTTTTTCAGCCGACGCGCGCAATTGTTGCCGTGAGCAATTTTTTATATCGAGCCAACGAGGCAGCAACAACAAGTCAGCTGACCAGAAAAAGGAAAAAAAGAGCAAAACACGCCGGACGTGTTCCATAAACAACACTTTGATTACGACGACGCGGGCGCACAAACGCAAATCGATGTTTTCATATGGAAATTGAATCAAAGTCAAGTCCCGAGCTCAGAGTATCCAGAATATGGAGCACGGCAGCAACTAGCAACATGTGTACTCCGTTCGGGCCAACAATTGAAGCTCTGCACAGTGAACAATTTTGCATTATTTTTGCGAAGAATTATAAAAATCAAATTTAAAAAAAACCCCGAATAAAAGAAATGTAGAATTAAAATTTGTTTCACTACGGTTTGGAAATCTCTAACAAAGGGGTTTTAAAATTCATTTTGAATGCAGAAGTATTGTAGATCTATTAAAAAAAAAGAATTCCTATTTTTACCGCATATTTGAAAATACTGCACTCTTAAAAAAACAATATTTTATAAGTACCCATTCTTGATCTTAAATCACATTAAATTTAAATAGAGTTTTAAAGGCTAGGAAATAAAATGAAACAACCTTGATCAGTGATCACTATATCTCAATAATTACAAAGTTTAGAAATAAATGTAATATATTGTATGACATTACTCGTTAAATTTTAAGAAGAAAATCATTTGATTTTTCGTGTGTACCAATGGATCCGTTGGAGCTTGGAGCTGGCTCCGAGCCCAATTGGCCTTGATGTGAGCCGAGAGTGGGACCATGGCGTCAGCGCTTTTGTGGCTGGCTTTTGCCAGTAGCCAAACATTCGGCCGAGGAGATGGGGAGCGGCAGAGGGGGGGCAGATCAAGCCCCTGGGTTGGTCTTTTGTGGTTTTAGCTATGATTATTAATCAATTCTTTCATATCACTTCGACTGAATTGAATTCTTTTTACGAATCGTTTAAAAGTATGTGAATACAAAGGTAGCCAAAGGCTGCTGCTGCTGCTGTCTGGCTGCCTTTTTACTCTAATTAATTCAACAAAAGTTTCTGGGCCGCCTTTTGTCCGGAGTTTTCCGCTTACTGGTCAGCGCCCAGTGCTGCTGGTGCTGTGAAAGGTAGCATTCATTATTCGGATGTTTATGTTTATTAAATCAAATAAAAACACCTCTTAACGAGGTAAAAAACTAGTGACGACCGCACCTTCAACATACAAAAGTTCTGATATCAACATTTGTGACGAAAAATTATTACACTCGTCATTAAAAAGACTTTCTAATCTTTTCTCATTCGGCCCGCCCTAGCAAACTATTCCAGCCTTTTTCCCTTTACAGGCATTTTCTATTGCAGCGTGACGAATGAGAAAAGATTAGAAAGTCTATTTAATGACGAGTGTAATAATTTTTCGTCACAAATGTTGATATCAGAACTTTTGTATGTTGAAGGTGCGGTCGTCACTAGTTTTTTACCTCGTTAAGAGGTGTTTTTATTTGATATCAGAAGTTTTTGTTTGTATACATTTGCTCTCATAGGAGCTAATACATACATTTAAATTTAAATTGGTCAATCATAATTTTTAAACTATTGTATTTTAACAAATTAAGTTAAAAAGGCGTTGAAGTATTTCAAAATACCTTTTAAACGAGGTATAGCACATGTCTGTACCTTTAGTAGTGTAGAACTTACAAACTAACGAAATTTAGCTATTTTTAGCTCTTTCCCGCTAAAGTAGCGGCTTTTTCCAAAAGTCGTAGAACAAAAGATTCCTATATGGAACTCTTAAGTGCAAATTTACTGATTCCATGACCCTAAAATACAGTTCGGATACCCTCCCACAAAATTCAATACTCAGGGAGCGTTAATTGTTCGAGCTGGCAACAGTGGCTATTTTCGTATAAAAATAACTATTAAACGTGACTTTTTACAGTAATGTGTTATATACCAAAATTTAAGGAATCTCAAGGGCTATACAGTTTAAGGTTTTAAAGAAAATCGTTAGAGCCGTTTTTGAGAAAAATAAAAAAAGCTAAAAAAAGTTTTAAAAATTGTCTTTTGTTCATATTTTTTTAACTATTACATTTACACAAATTGCATATAGAAGGCGTTTATAGCATTTCAAAATACCTTTCAAACGAGATGCAGCACAAGTCTGTAGCTTTAGTAGTATAGAAGTTACGGCTTTCCGAATTTTAGCTATTTATAGCTGTTTTCCCGCTAAACTAGCGAGTTTTTCCAAAAGTGGTAGAACAAAAGTTTTTTATATCGATGTGATGAACGTCATATCAAATTTTCAGAACTTAAAAAACATGTTTTGGACAAGTGGACAAGTGGACAAGTGGACAAACTGACAAACAGAATTAAATTTTCATTTTGGGAAGAAGAAGAAAATCTTATTTTGGCTATAACTTTTGAACGGAGCGTCGGATTTTGACAAATGACCCCTCATTCGACGGGTATTTTCAAAAGGAATACAAGTAAATCATTGCGAGGGGGCATTTATCCCCACCGGCCCCAACAGCTCCAAATTTCGAAATTTTTACTTTTTCACTTTCACCGCTCTCTCCAATTGATTTTCTTAGAGTCTTGGTATGCAATCCTTTAAGTTTTTGCAATACCTTTCGATTGGTGTATTACTCATTACGATCTGACTATCACAGCAGATTTTCATTTCTTCGTGTATATATAGTAGTCGCCTTCGCACACTCTCCTGGTGCGCTTCGTCACTACATGGACTGCCGTCCATAGTGATTCCATTTAATTACTCCAGTCTACATACGCACGCATTGTAATGCCGTTTCAATTGAGCATTAAATGCAAAAAAAATAAGAAATCGTAATAATAATTGTTTATTAATGGAAAATGGCATTTTCGATTGGCATCTGAAAAGGGCAATCGATTCGAGTGGTGGTGACCTTAATATGAGACTGCCTATGGTGCTGAGTGAAGGGCCTTAAGATTGTTTAATAAAGATCTTTGAACTAAAAGAGAAATAAATTAGCACAGACATAATTGCTTACAAGCGAAGCGATCGCCGTCTTATTTCCATGCAAATAGATTTCTTCCTTAAGCCGCGTAATTTCCTTCACAGGAAATACTTGCCATGTCCCCACGTCCATGTCCCCGATCTGTCTGCCACAGGTGTCGAAATTGACAGATGAGCAAAACGCAGGGCAGTAACCGGAACTGGCGGACCGGAGCGAGATTGCAACGGGCGTGGCTGTAGCTGGTCCTATAAGCGAATCGCATCGGCCAATCCTATACAAACCCCAATCCCGCAGTGGAGTCTGCGCGACTTCAATTTAAATTTTAATCGCATGCCTAATAGACAAACCTGTGGTAAATGTCAGAATAAAGAGACTAAGAGCCGACTTAAATCATGCCAACATTTACAAAGTACTTTGCAGGAGCCCCAGCCTCGAACCAGACTCGTATGAGCGTCTGCGAGTCACGGACACGTCGTCAGATATAGTCGGGGTATAGGTATTATATGGTATGGTATGGTATGGTAAGGTATGCTGAAGATGGGCTAAGACAAACTTCCGATCACGTTGTAAGTCAGCAGCGAAATTACACACTGAAAAAATTCTATTCAATTTCTAAAATTCAGGGCCAATAATATTTTTTAATATATCCAAACAAATTTAAAGAAAGCCTCCTCATAGAATTATATATTATTTGAATTGTCTGGGCTGATTTCTGTTTCTGGATTCTACAGTAACGAATTGATGTCACATATATTTTTTTTGCAGTGCACAAAGCTTCTACCGAGCCCTCGCCAAAGGGCCCAAGAGAGAAAGAGAGAAAAAGTTAATGGAGGCAAATGCATCAAAATGGTTAATTGGATCTGGAACAGCAAATGACGAACACTTTTAGTGTTTATGGCACTAGCCGAGGTACAGGCCCAGATCCAGGGCCAAGTCGAGATCCAGAGCCAGGTCCAGAAACAGAAACAGCAAAGGAGATTGCGGCAGATAGGCAAGTGTGTACGTGGACTCGATGGTGATGATGGGAGCTGCGGGAAATCGGAGCGGCATGCAGGGCCTGAACACACATATATATTTATATATATTCTAGGAGATGCCGCAAACAGCTCAAGTGGCAAGCGTGTTGTACACGACACGCATTAGCGTGAATGGAGCAGTTCTCGTACTTGGCTTTGCCATTTTTTAATCGAATCGAATGCGTTGAGAGCCTCAACGGAGAGGGGCTGCTTCAGCTTCAAACTGAAACTGCAGCTTAGATGGCCAGACAAATGTGAGGGAAAATTAATGGCGAGCTCTGCAGTAATTTCCATTAAAGTGGGCACAGCTCCGAAAATGCACTTGTTGCTGCTGGCCAGGCACCCGGTAAGGCCAAGGAAAACTTCCGTGTTCCTTACCAGACAGCCGGTGGATCGGCGAAATGGTAATGGGCCAATATGATGGCCTCCATGAGCTGCCTAATGGGCCGCTCTACGGAGCTTTTTACAGCGGCATTATGGACCCGCCTCGGCAGCAGCCATAGCCTTGTGTGGATTTGGATCAGGTCGATCCAAATCGAAATCGACTGGTTAATTCATTGTAAAAAAAAGGAGAAATAAAGGTACCCATAACAAATGGGTGCTTAAAAGCTAAAAATAATTATTAATACATTTCTTCTGCTAATACAAATCACCCCTAGCAACAGTTTTCGTCTACTGGAGCTATTGATTCAACACTTTCCACCCACAACTTGCCTCAGTTGTTGGGAAAAACTCAAGCCTTCAACATGGATATGGATTGTAATGGGCTAAATCTTCAGATTTCAAATATTTAAAATTAAAATATATTCCTTCTTTTAGTAAATAACGACTTGGAGAAACGCATTTCGGATGCCTTCTGTGTGTTTGATCACCATGGCGAAAAGTTCATAGACGTCCGAGAAGTGGGCACGGTCCTCAGACTTCTCGGCTGTGTACCCACCGAGGAGGAGGTGAACGAAGTAATCTCGGCAACCGAATCCGAGGAGACCAGTGGCGAAGTGCATTTGACCAAATTTTTGCCACACGTCTCGCAGTTGCTCATGGAACGAAAGTGAGTAAGAGCACTTTCTCTATTTATCTTAATTATAATATTTTCCACAGAATGGAACCCGCTCCACCAGAGAAAATTCTGCAGGCCTTTAAGATCTTGGATCCGGAAAACAAGGGGTATCTGACAAAGGAGAGTTTTGGAAAACTGATGATGGAGGAGGGTGAGCCGTTCACCCAGGAGGAAATGGATGAGATGTGGCCGGTGGCCATAGATCCCATCAGTGGAAACATACCATATGAGTTCTACTTGAACCAGCTGATGGTATAATAACTAATTTAAATACTTTTTAGAGTTTTGAGTTTAATATGTTTGTTATTTACTTTTCAGGTCTATCTGTAGAGGAAAAAGGGTACCGAAATATTTTTATTTTTTCACTGAAGATACAAAGTAGCAGTGATAATGTAGCAGCTATCCAATTAGATCCAGTTCTTATTTGACTAACCTGATGCAGCTGTAAAAGTGCAAGTTGTGTTCAATAAAGTCCCAAAATTACACTCGTTAACGGGATGTCTGTAGCACTCCCCTTTGCATTTGCTATTCTGACTATTTCACTAAGCAAATCTCTTTCCACTTTCCACTCCCTTTCTTGGCCACTTACATTAGCCTTGCCTGCGAACACACAGGGGAGCGGAGCTAACTAACCAAGCTGGCCAAATGCGTTCCAAAGTAGCCGGCTAAGTCCCCGGCACAGGACACTGGCTTTTGGCTTTGGTTTTGGATATGGATGTGGATGTGGAAGAGGAGGAGCCGCTGCAACTGGAGTTCTACTTGGGGCGGAACGCTGCAAAGTGGGTTGCGCATCATTAGCACAACTAATGGATGTTCACTTTTCTTACCTGCAACATGGAACCTGGAACCTGGACCAAGTCGTGTGCTGGCCGGTGCTCCTCATCACCTCCTCGCCACAGCACTCCAAATTGCAGGCGGTTATGTGCGAGAAAGGCTAGAAATTTAAATAAATTAAAATACCTCTCGAAGTGCATTTGCTAGGGAGTCGTGTTCGGAGTCGTGTTCTCGCTTCCGTATTTATTAAATTCTAAATACGCGCTGATGGATGCACTTAACTGCATCTTATGGATTAAAATATTTCATGTAATTCCCCTTTCCCCCCACTCCTCGGCACGTTCTGGCGCTTTGGCCAATTTGAGTGATTGCATTGCGCGCATTTAAATGGATGCTGGGATGGTCGAAACAAGTTCTACGTGCGGCTTCCACTTGGACTGCGGCTGCGGCCTAATGGACCCTTAATCTTTACAACTTGTAAAAATTTCGTTTTTGAATTGCGCCGACCGGCGAATGCCTGATTGTTGGAGTCATAAAGAGGATGCCAACTGCTTAGATTCATTCCTTTGACCTCAAACTCGGAGAACAATCTGAGGCAGTGGTACTTCCAAAGTAAAAATTCCCCCGGAACTAGATTTTAAAATAAAAGTCTGACAGGAGTCAGTCAGTCTGGAAGCGGGGATCGTAAAAACGCAGAGCTGCCGAGCAAATTGTCAAAGTTCGGTGGAGCCTTTCTGGAGAACTAAACGGCTTCCGCGCATGAATCAATTCGGCCTGCCTTTCGGAGGCCAAAAAGCTTGGACTGAGACTGAGGGCTCCTCCGACTGATGATGATTTACGCTCGACGAAGCGTAATTAAGATTTATGCTCCACACTCACTTGCAAAATATATGTACTTGCTTATACATATCGAAAGCCACACAATATGCACATAGTTGCGTATCTGAGTTTATGAGTACCAACGGCTTAATTGTTAGTTATGCGCTTTTGTTTGTGCGACATTAAAACTAATTAAGTAGAAAGAGTTCCTATAAGATTTATATGCCTCAATGATTGCCTGTTATTACAAGTGTGTGCCGAGAAGTGGGATGTGAGTGAGTGTGCATTGCAAATTAAAGCAATTAGTTGCATTTTATGACAATGGCCAGAAAGTACAAGCCCCCGGCCAATTCGCAAAGGAATAAAACATGTATTTACGACCCGGGGGGTTTCCTAATGAGTGGGCGATGGCAGGGAGCAAATATTTATGCACCTTGATTGATATCAGCCAGAGGTTGTTTTCACAATTGAGATATTATGAATTAATTATAACGATTAATTGATTGCTGAGGCTTTGTTTTCTTATACTAGTTAACAAGAAAAATATCTACTTAGTTTAAATTTCATTGTAGTGTTGCAATAGTACAGGTAACTTTATTTTATTAGGCAATGAATGAGAGTAAGCAAAACTAAAATTTCAAGTTTTAAAATTTACTACACTTTTATTCAAAATTATAATATGGCATCAGTTGGAACTTCGAAAACCTATGAATAATATTGTTCAACTGAATTTCCCCCCTTAGATCTTGCATTTTTCTGCATTCAATTGAGCCAAATCTATTCTTCTTGGATCCCCGGATTTTCAGAAGTTTCACTTCCTCTGCCATTTCCATTTTCCAGCTGCACCGACTGGAACTTTCAATCAACTTTCTGTTTACCTACGCCTGCAGAGCCACTTGTTTTGAGGCCTGCCTTGAATTAATGGCGAGCCTCGCTTTCGTTACTGTTGCCCCAGAGAACTGGCAGCTCCGACTCGGATTCAGATTCGGAATGGGAATCTGGGTTTAATGCCCCACACAGCTGCATCGCATTGAGAACGGAATGAAAGCGCAAGCGGGCTGTCGTAATTTTGATTTCGGCTGCTTTTCCTGCTCGCCGTTAATTGAATTTAAGCAATAAAATATAATTTGGATTTTTGCATGTTTCCCTGGCGCGTAGCACGCCGAAAAGGGAAACCCGAGTGGAAAGTCAAAGTCGGAGAAACAGAGAGATGGAGGCCGGAATCCAAGGTAGCGACTGAAATTGCAAAAGGTGAACAACATGCAATTGATGGGGGGAAGTCGAGGCAAAAAAGCGTGGCCACTGGCTCCAAGTCCGCCTGCCTGCGTCTTTATTGTTGCAGCAGCCGTCGTCATCATCATCGTCATCATCATCCGACGTCGTCGCTGCCATGTACAACACCCAAAGGTATCAGCAGACAAAATGCTAAAAATGTATTTACCACAAAGGCAACGCGACGACGACGAGTTTGGCTCATTGCTGCTGCTCCTGATGTGCCTTTTGCTCTTGCTGTTGCTTTTGCTTTTGCTTTGCTGTTGCTTTTGCTGCGGCTGCGGCTGCCCTTAATGGATCTGCAGCACTTTGAGTGATTTATTTCACACGTTGATGAAATGGACAGCAATGGGCCGCATTTTGACGTTTATTGCAGCAGTGGCAAGGGCCGCAGAAGCAACAGCAAAAGCAGCAACAACAGCATGAAGCTAAAGCGACCAGTGCCCACGGCATGTGTTCTGCGCATGCGCGCAGCCCTTTACCAAAGGAGACTAAAGCGCAGAGGGCACCCCACATTGGAGCCTGGTTTTTAAAGGAAGCTAAGGAGGCACCCTATAGATGCTCTTCCTCTATCAGGATTGAGAATATAAAATGGCAGGAAATAGATGCATAATATAATTTATTATAATTTTGGAAAAATATTAGAGATACGAATAATAGAATACGAATAATAAATTGGGGGCTTATCCAAAACGAATATACTACTGCAAGAATATTTTGTAAAAATTAGGATAGCCTCAAATTTTAATAGTTAAATCTACAAAAATAAAGAATTAAAGAATAATATTAATAAATAACATTTTCAATCATTTTTTAAATATTTGTTATGTTTCCTGTAACTACTACTTTAAATTTTTGCGCAGAGTATTTTAAAGTCAATCTCATTTGTTGCTTTTATATCATTTTGCTTTTTTAATATTTTCCCTTTTTACCAGCTTTTTTTGCTTTTTTTTTTGCAATTGCACTGGGAGCCTTGCACGTCTTTTGGTAATAGCCCCGCAGACCGTGCGCTCTTTAATGAGGCGCGCTCCTCATTTGGACGCCACGCATTTCGTAGTTTTGTACCCGTTTACCAACGACGGATGTTGGTCGCTCGGCTATTAAAACATTTAATTGCAACTTAATTAGTTGAAGGTCTCTCGCAGCACTTCTCACGAATGCAACTTTGGCAAATGCCATCTTTGACCCCAAAGTCGCATCGAGAGTGGGGTTGGGGGTCAACTCACGGAAAAGCCATCGAGCATAGGGCATTGACAAATCCACCCCCAAGAAAAGTCAATTTAACACATTCACTACGCCTCTTAAAAATGTTGATATTTTAATTAGTTACGCTCTAAAGGATTTTGCACAGCCAAGTCAAGGTTTCACCCACTCCCAAGAAAGAGAAAAAAAATCCAGCTTGGGCCCAGCTTGGGACTTGGCCGGGTCCAAAGCCTGGATCTTCATGCAGCTCGAGAGAAATAAAGTGCCAAAGGGCACACATGGCACCGAGTTTCTTGGCTTTTGTGGCTTTTGTTTTTAGCCATAAACGGGCTGTTGGTGTGAGTTACCAACTTCTAAGGTGGAGTTATGGGGGGATATTTGAGAAAACTCATAAAGAAAATCAAAAAAGGACTTTTTCTAACTTAGTTATTTAGTTTTTAATTTGTATGTATTTTTAAAACGCCTTTCATTATTGGATTTTTGTCCCTTAATTTTCAATAAAGGCAAGTAAATTCCCCCTTCACTTTCCCCTAAACGCCGCTCGTGACTTCAGACAAGCATTCACCCATATGCCAACCTACAGAGTTTGGTTTTCCCTCATCGGTTTTTATTTCGGTTTTATGACAGCGCGCCCAACTGTGGCAATAAGTTCAAATGCCAGCCCAGAGACCCGGCGACTAAATGCACGGCTAAATGTGCAACTGAGGTTGACTGGCAGGCAGGCTGGCAGGGAAACTCGGGCCAAGACACTCTGGCTAAAAGCTGAGGCTCGAGCTGCGGCCCGAACTGCGGCTCAAGCTCAACCTCAAGAGTCAAGCTCAGGCGGACAAAGGTTCCTTCGCTGGCAGTGCCAAAATGAAAAGTGGGTGTAGCGGCACCAAATGCCATTGCCAACTTTTGGTCCAAAAGCAACGCCAACGCACCTCGTGAGCATCCTCGCCCCCACCTTCACATCCACCTCTCCAGTGCTGATTTCCACTAATTTGATTAAACAGATTGAGTTTAATAAGGTTCGTGGGGAGAATTTCACCGGCACTTGACTGGGGCCGGCAACAAATGTTGCCTAATTCAAGTGCCGCATTTATTTTGTAAACATTTAACACTCCGCACTCTGCATTCTGCACTAGGTATTTCTATGTCCCCATCCCCACAGGCCGCACGACTTGTTGTGATACAAAATATGCCGGTTGAGCAGTGATAGCACTTGAGAATTGCCCACACAAAAGGCCACATCCCTACTCCAATCCCAATCCCAGTGCCAG